ATACATATACATATATATACATATACATATATATATATACATATACATATATATACATACATATATACATATACATATACATACATATATACATACATATATACATATACATATATATATATACATACATATATACATATACATATACATACATATATACATATACATATATACATATACATATACATACATATATACATATACATATATATACATATATGATTTTCCCAACTGGCATAGATTTATTGGCTGAAGTCTATTGTACTGTACAACTGACGGACTTCGTTTAAACCGGTTTCCAGCCTTTCCGGCGGCAACTGGACAGTTTGAATTCTGGAGGCTCTCTTTTATTTTCTTTGTTTTCTTCAAAAAGTGATTTGGTAATTATGCGGTGAATAGACTCAAGGATGTTTATGGTGAACGTGAGGACCGAAGGCCCCAGCCTCGCCGTGACTTGGGCCGGGCGAGGGAAGCGAGAAAACTTGCCTTTGAAAGTAAATCGGCATTACAATGCGGCGAGGACAAAGCGTATGAAGGGTGGCTATGAAAATCGCATTTATTCATTTCTCTCAGAGCACGTAGCGTAATTTAAGGGAGGGCTTAAGGAGACCCCTCCCCTCCGCCTCGCTTCTCTGAGGGTGTACCGTGTACCCTACTTTAACCGATTTATTATCATACTCACTTGCTTTTCTTCATTTACTTCCAATACATCAACAAGATTCACATGTATGTTGTACATGGTGTTCTTATACTTTGGTTTGCGTAAAGACATAGTTTGATAACCAGGCCGAGCAGTGCACATTGGGATGTTGCCACCAGATTCTTTCCATTGCCGAACCTGTAAATTACAGTTCTTAGCTATTAATAATTCAGAAATTTTTAACAAATATGATCATGCATGTTTCATAATAATATATCCAGGGGATTGACAGTATGTGCAAGTATGGATTGGAATGTGCAATATGTGCAAATATGGACTCTAAGAATTATTAAAATGATAAAATAAATGTAGAATATAAATTAAAGGGCTACCTTATCTTACATTAGTTAATGGTTAGAAACAAAGTATCTTAATCCAGAAGTGCAAAAATTATGGAAAGTTCACATTACACTCTAAAATCGTTTGAGAATGCTTACAAGCAGATAAGGAACTGCTCTGGCACTTGCTTACGGTTGATCGGAGAAATCACGAAAAACTACCGATAAAAACAACCGGCCACTAGAATTGTCCCCCCTGACAGCGACCTAGCTCTAGCCAGAGTCGAAAATCCTGCTTCCGTTGGGACTCGAACCCTTGGACCTGCCCGTCAGGGTACATTCTCGAGCCGTGGCATAAACGCACTAAAAAAATCGGGAATTACTCACTTTACTCACGTTGAACACGGTCTGAGCCTGTTAAATCAATAAAATATTATACCAGTAATAATTTTAATATTATTTTAGCATTAAATACTCGTACATTGCAAAATGCACATTTTTCTGCTTCGGAAATTGCACATCAAATATTCGGACACACGTATTTTTTCAACATTTTTGTCAACGAACTATTGAACGAAAATAAGATGGAGTAACTTTTCCTTCAGTTGATTCATGGACAGTAACGGTCAATCCAAGCACTGTCAAAAATCAGTCTATTAGTGTCTCTCCTTGAAGAACGTTTAAAAAGGTCTGGAAGAGGAAAGAACAGCTCTTTCGAACTGCGTCAGTTAGTCATCTTTCATAATACAAAGGTAAGAGCTGCCGTGAAATTGCAAAAAATCTAAATATGAAGAAAAGTGCGGTGTATAATATAATCAAGAGATTTAAAAAATAAAAGAGGATTGAGTCTCACCGCCAAAGTGGACGTCCCCATAAACTTTTCCGTCGAGAAGAGATCTTCGTCATCAGGAAGATTAAAAAAAACCCCAAATTAAGTGAGTCAAAGATTGCTGCAGAGGTGAGAAAAGAACTGGGGAAGGTAGTACATCCAGAAACAATACGAGTTATTTTACGAAATGCAGAATTTCATGGCCGCGATGCAAGAAGAGAGCCTTTCATAAATGAGATAAACAAAAGGAAAAGGCGGGATTTCGCTGAGGAACATATAAACAAGGATATTAAAGAGCCGCTCCGGATGGCCGAGATCGCTACTGCAGTAGCGCCGTAGCGATCTCCGACCGAAAGATCGCGGGTTCGAGTCCCGCCTCGAGCGTGATTGCATTGCGTTCGTGGCGGGCCCCCCATCATCATCATCATCATATCGTGTCATCCTCATGGTTACCATACCGTTACACGAAATAGTGGTCGCTAATGAACTAGAAGTTGATGCGACCTTAAATAACAAAGAAAGAAAGGATATTGAATGGTGGAATCGAGTAATATTGCGGACAAGAGTAAATTTAATGTGTTTGGACCTGACGGAAGAACATTGGTGTGGAGAAATGCAAACACACAGTCACAAGAGAAGAATCTGCAGCCAACAGTGAAACACGGAAGTGGGAATGTAATGAAGTGGGACTGTATGGCGGTTAGTGGTGTGGGTGAGCTTTCTAGAGTATACTAGAAAACTCATAGACAACATGCCAAAGAGGTTTAATTAAGTTTTGAAAATGAAAGGACTCCTACAAGTTATAGATGTACTTATATGTTTTGTTTTATTTAGTTTTATTAATTGGTTTATATTATGTGTCCCAATATTTTTTGACGTTTCAAAGTAATAAGTTTTCTTCAAAATTATTGTAATTTAATAATTTTTAATGCAAAAATTAAACTTGCACCTTGTTCGAACGTATAAATCGTGGGTCTTTCATTATTTACGTTTTACTAATAATTTTAACTAATTTACCAAAAAGAAGTTCAATATTTTCTTCTAAACAAAAGCAGCTGCAATAAAAGAAAATGTGGTAAAACCGTAGGTGTCCGTTGAGTGTAATATTCTGGGGACGCACATACAGTACGTCGACTTTTAGATTTCAGAAAAGAAAAAAAATGTACGAATAACACGCAAATGTCATCTACGTGATTGCAGAAATCTATTTTCATTGAGTGTGGAATCATCCCATTGTTTTGCCTATTTATAGTCGAATCTGTTATAGTTTTTGTGAAAACTCACTTAAAGGTGGAAACATTTTCATGTAATACAGATATTTATAATTACATCTCCCACCGTGTGGATTGTATTCATCAGGTCAGTTTCAACAGTTCAAAATAAGAAATCTATATATGTACATTAATTTACGACACATTGAGAGATGACATTAAACAATTAAAATGGAAACACAAGTTTTCGTGCCAAATAAAATCTTTTGTGCTGCATAACTGTTTCTATACAATTAGATTACACTGGCCATCAAAAGAAAGAACAATATGTTAACAATAATATCTAATTAACCAACAACTTCACTTCCACGCTGCACAAAATTAACCATGCGAATACCGCCAATAGAGGAAGAATTGGCTAAATGTTCATAGAATTTTTTTACTCAAAACAACTTGAAAAGTAAAGTTTCGACGTTTTCTCCCCGGAACGGCCCCGGAATCCTGTATACGTAAAAGGTTAAGACACTATGAAAGATTTGTCTGATCTCTTACTATGGATACCATTATTGGTGATATGAATCTTGTTGGAAGTTACGCGCCATTTCACCCAGAACCTAGTTCGAAATTACACGACCGTATATTCCTACGAACGTGAATATTTTAAAGAAATCTAGTGCTCGGGCTTACCTTCATGAGGAAATTGAAAATACCATTGTCAATAAGAAGAAATATAAAATGTTTATGACAAATTGCTACTACGTGGCAATCAGAGTGTAGTATATATGATAGACTGGATTGATATAGAAAAAAAAGAGAGAGCCCCCCCTTCTTTCTGAAACTCTGCAAATTAAATTGCTGATACGGTAAATAGTAACGTCGGATCTAATATGTTTATTAACGCTTATTACAACATTATTAATAAATTGAACGTGCGTAGCTCAAAATAATATTTTTGGTATTTTTCTTCGTTTGTTTTGTTCCGTCAAATTTCTCCAATGAAAACTTTCCTCCTGTTCCTTCCCCTTCCTTACTCTTTGCTAACTCTTATTTTTCCCTCCTCTCATCTGGCTGAGTTCCCTATGTCAGTCACAAATAGACCGGCTTGGCTGCTACAACTTCCAGCACTTCCAACCCTCTTCTTCGTTCCATAACTGAAGAATAATTTTGTGCGTGTTAAAAACAATCAAAATTTTTGTTTTTATGTAGAAATGAATATTTTATAATGTTCTTCTTTCAAGTCTTCATGCTTTAATTGTTTTGTTTTCAAAGTGGGTAGTCTCTGATCCTTTGAATTTTGTACCTACTTTTATTAATTGGATTGTTGGTGAAGTAGATACCTTTTTTATTTTGATAAATAAATAGAGATATTGTCAGGTATCAATATTTTAATTCCACTAATGATCATTTCGATCGCGTAGCGATCATCCTCAGAGCTTGTAGCTTCTGGGCCGAAAACCTTCAGCCGAAAGTTTTCGGTGGGATTAAAATATTGATACCTGACAATATCTCTATTTTGTACCTACGTTAAAAAGAACTCATGAAAATATTGTTCCTTTTTTACTGCTCTTTTATAGTTTGAAACTTTAAATAGATTTATTATTATTATTATTATTATTATTATTATTATTATTATTATTAATTTTATTATTATTATTCGCGCATCTGTCCATGCAACACATTTCTCTCTCCGAGGCCCTGTTGTATTCTATCCTGGAGAGATCAACGTGTGGAATTATGGGGACCAGCTTTTCGGCTGGTTAAGACATGGTTGTTAGAATAGATTTTTAATTATTTCAAATTAATTTTCACTTATTCCTGTACTTTTGTTTACCGGCAGGAGTCGAGAGAAAATTCGGGCCCTGCTACAAACAAGGTAGTGTGCGGTACCCAATAAAAAATTCTACAGACATGTATAACTGTAAAAGAATATTTAACAAAATCAAATACAAGTATTAATACAAAATAATACAATAAAAGACTGACATACAATACAAACTTGGAAATATAAGTATATGAGCCAGAGCTCAAGCTACATATTCGTAACTGAAACGACTCTTTACAGAAAGAAAGCACGAACTTAAAGTGGTGAAACACTTAGCACTGGCAAACGAATGTGTCAGAAGCGGTGGATGACAGATGAGAGACCTTCACTTCACTCTCGCGCTCTTGACACTGCACTCGCATAGTTGGTGGTGGCGCCTAGTGTAGCCACTGCGCTCGGGCGCGTCCGGCGGGCTCTGCTTAGCGCAAGGGCAGCCGTGCATGGTCGGACACCGCCGCGGCGGTGTGAATTTTTCTTCCTAATATTCGATGCACGCAAAAATTGAAAGAAAACTATGCTTTATTCCGGTTACGTGAAAGGCTTCGGTTTCGTTAGATACCTAAAAACTCGAGAATAGCGAGATCCGGCATCGACCTATCGTCGGCTAGCGGGGTTATCGGCAACCCGGTATCTCCTACTAGTGGGCACCGCCCCGGCAGAGGCAAGCTCTAAACTCCCGACTGGTCTCCCGGCATGTGTGGTAGTGAAGCGCACGATAGTGTAAATGCGTGTAAGTAAGGGGCGACCATAGGACGAGGAAGAGGAAGGAAATATCGCGCGCGGTCCGTGACCCGTTTGTCAGGGTACTGCTCCGGTATTCGCCTGATGTTGATCGGAGAAACCTCAGAAAACTACCGATCAGAGCAGCCAGCCTCTAGAATGCTCCTCTAAGCAGCGACTGAATTCGACCTAGCTGACAGGCTAGTGTCGAAGATCCTGCCACTGGCGGGACTCGAACCTAGAATCTCCCGGTCAGAGGCACAGCAGTGACATCAATT